GCTTTTGATGGTGGAGATGACTGACGACCATGGATGACGGTGTCGGAACAAAGTCATTCGAAGGTCCGACCCCTGATGCACGGCAAGTTCCTCAATGCCAAGTTATCATTTCGATTCGCTACCTGGAACATCCGGACATTATACCAAACCGGCAAATTGGCGCAAGTCCTGGGAGAATTTGATCGCTATCATCTTGGCATCGGTGAGGCCCGTTGGACAGCCAGTGGGAAGTTGAAAAATGACAATAAGACCTTCATATACTCTGGCCACGGTGTGGGGATTGTCATGTCCCACCGAGGTATGATCATCACGCTCCCAAAAAAGACGATCTCTCCAAGTGTGATAACTGGCGGGGGATTACCCTTCTATCAGTACCTGGAAAGGTATTTTCTATTGTCCTTCTAAACCGCCTCCGACAAGTTGTCAATGCCTGTCTTGGAGATCAACAAGCAGGCTTCCGAAGTGGCCGATCCTGCATTGAGCAGATTTTTGTTCTTTGGCAAGTGATTGAACAATCGCTGGAATACCAACAATGGGTCTCACCGAACTTTATCGACTTTGTCAAGGCCTTTGACTCCGTGCACCGAGAAACGCTATGGAAGATAGCCCGGGCTTACGAAACTTGATCTTGACTTGTTGAAATCTTTCACAACCTTTACCAAGTTTCTCGATGCTGTGTACGGATGGAAGAAGGAATCACTGATTTCTTTGCGATTGAAACTGGCGTACCACAAGGTTGTGTGTTTTCACCAATGTTATTCCTTCTTGTCATCGACTTCATCGCCCGCCACGCCATCGACCCACCTACACATCGGCATATCCTGGACAGTTGGTAACTTCTTCCTTGCCGATCTCAACTTTGCCGATGATATTGTCATTCTCGGCCCGACACAAACTGCCCTACGAGTCCTCACTATGGCCCTAGAAAATCAAGCGGCCAGCACAGGACTGTGTGGACAGAAGACCAAAGTCATTCGCATCGGCTATGTAAACTCGAGAGTACCGATTACCGACGGAAAAAAAGTGGAGGAAGTTCCAAACTTCACTTATCTTGGCAGTGTCATCTCCTCAAATGGGGATGCAGAACGAGATGTCATCTGCTGCATCAGCAAAGCACCTGCCGTGTTCCAGCGACTCCTAGCTACGATCGTTGTGCCGACGGTGACCTACGCATGCGAGACCTGGAAGATGACTGAAAATCATCGCTCGAAAGTTGGATGTTTATCACCTTCGTTGTTTGCGACGCGTCCTCAAGATCTCTCACCGGGACCATGCTACAAACATGGAAGTATACTGTTGCGCTAATACAAAGCCCCTCTCTCTCGCGGATCGAAGCCGTTGGAGAACGCTTGTCGCTCTATGCACCGAACCGCGCCGGTGGAATTAAGGTTAAGGTCACATAAAACGCTCATCAGGATTTTGTAATCATTTTTAGTTTCCTGTGAAGAATTCGTAGCATGTGATGCGTGACCTTTGTCATCAACGGCAAACGAAACAGGCAGTGTTATTCTAACTATGTGTGATTGTTTATATGATGTTTATTTGGTGAATGGATATGATGGATGTGTGTCCCTCTGCCGGCGCGAGTCTGTACCTCTCATGAGCGTCAGAGCCGTGCCTTTATAGATGCTGCGGATGCCGTTCTCTCGGTACAGCTGCTTGGCGCAGTCCATCGGACCCGCATACTTCACCTGCCCCGACGCCGCCTGGATCTGAACACACACTCACGTTACACTCACACACGTTACACTCACAGACACACACACACACACTCACGTTACACTCACAGACACACACACACCCACGTTACACTCACAGACACACACACACACACACACTCCACTCACTCATGTTACACTCACAGACACGTTACACACTCACTCACAGACACACACCCACGTTACACACATTACACACTCACTCACAGACACACACACACACCCACGTTACACTCACAGACACACACACACAC